CTTATGTCTTTCTCTGTCCGGTCTTCTTTTTCTTGAACTATTTTGGGTTCTCTCGGCACTAGTTTCCATCCTTTTTTGACTCTGTGGGCAGCTCAAAATGCCTGAGCCAGCAGGCTCAAGGAGTCTCGCTGGTCCTCGTGTGCACCAGGACTCCCTTCTTCCCTCCTTGTATGGGCAAATCATGCGCCTGATAAAGCCTGTCTGGCTCCGGGCTCCCCTGGCCTGCTTTCCCCATCTCATGTCCCTGACCCTGTGGATTTAGCAGCCCTGGGGCTGTCTCTGCCCTTGGCAGCCTGGCTGCACATCCTGCACCTCTGCCCTGGTCCTGTGCTCGGGCGCTGCTCCCTGGAGAGGGCTGCCACGTCGGGGCAGGAGTCCGTGCCCGGGGGAGCAGAGCACGGTGGCACTGGGAATGGTGGATGGTGGCACTGGGATGCACCTTGCGCCTTGGAGGAGGTGCTGACACTGAAAACCGAGAGAAATCTTAAGCCTGCTCTGTAATCAATACCAATTATAAATCCTAGTGTTGCTGTTGCATCTCAAAAGATCACCCAGAGTGTTTGTGCAAACAGTGGATGCAGGATGAAAAAACGCCAAACCGGGGAAAATCCACCCCGTGCATAGTGCCTCACAAGCTTGTCTTCCAGGATGCCAAGCACCCTCCTCCTCCTCCCTTTTCATGAAGGTAACATTTGTGAAGAACTCAAGGGCAGGTTTCTCCACGCTGATGGCTCTACAGCTCCCTGTGGAGCAGCGATAACCAGGTTTCTCAGAGCCAGGTCAGCACGGAGGGGAGGTGCAGTGCTCCGTGGAGAAGTCCAGCCATTGAATTCGGTGCCCCTGTCACAGTGAGCTGAGCCACCCCGTGAAACTGTCACAAGGACATGTGCTAGTGACGCGTCCCTGCAGTCGTGTGTGTGGTGGGATGCTGAGGTGTGCTTGCTGGCTTCCTCCTTCCTCGTCTGAATAAATAAATATTCCTGTGGGGCTGAGACCAGATCTACAAATAGCTAATGAGAGCTGAAATCCCAGCCTGAAATTAGCACTCTTCTGGCTGAATAGGGTTTAAAGAAATTTCTCATTTTTTTAGTGTCTTTTAAATGTAACTGGCTTGCAGGGGGGAATCAATGAATCTTTGTGGCTGACTTAGGCTGCATGAGAGCCTGTGGTCCCCAGCCCGCCTCGCAGGCAGGGTTCCTCTCCAGCTTTGCCTGTACTGAACGTGCGGCCTCCTCACAGCATCCTTTCTAAGAAATGAGTTGCGGGCGGCAGGGAGCTGTATCATTACGTGGGTAGTTGTCCCCTGCCAAGGACGTCTGGAGAAGTGCCGGAGGTTTGGAGCTGTGCCTGACTTCGGCGTGCAGCATCTTCCCCGGAGACAGAGTCCAGAACCCAGCGTGGTAGCGTGGGTACCCCGGCACAAAGCTCCTGACGTGTTTCAGTGGCTGTGCCACGGTTTGGCAGATGCCTGCGGGACAAACGTTGGTGTTGAATGGTGGCCTCGAGCCTCCTCCTTGCCATTTGCACCAATTTTTCCCTCCGCCTCTGAAACAGCTGTGTAAATCAGGGTGCAGCTGGATAAATTTTGGTTTGTATTGGTGTACCGTGGGGTTTGATGCTTTTGCATTGTTTGCCTGTGTCCAGTGCAGTGACCAGCCGTGCCGCAGAGCAGCCTCGGGTGCCTGGTGAATAGATCTGGGGGCTCTGTCCCCATGACAGCTTTTGTTTTGCTGTAGTGACCGCGGCAGAGGCACTGCTGGTCTTTGGAGGTGGTGTCCTTTTAGCCTTTCACCAGTGTTCGGGTCCCTTGGTGACTGCTTCAGCCCCGCCCGTGGAAGCTGTTACGAAAACCAGACAGTGGATGTGATGGGTGCTTCTGGTGCTGAGCAGGAGGAAATGGGGCCCTTTGCTCAAGAAGGAGATGGGTTGCTCTGTGTGTGTGTGAGAAATAAATAGGAAATTGAGTCCCAAGGGGATAGATGCCAGGACCTTTTATCTCGCTTCAAGCTGCTGCTCTGGATGCTTTTTTTCCTCCCCAGAAGTGAGGACTGGGAAGGGACAACTACCAAAAGAGATCCTATAAGCTTTGCCAGGAAGCTGCTTAGATTATAATGCTACCTGGAAGAGTTGACAGGCTGTGTATGAGCCTGAGATGGCAGAGATTTTCCCTTACAGACAATTAGTTATAGTGAAAGAAGTATTAACCAACTGGTGACTGCAACCATTACTGTTTTTTTGTAGAAGGAAAGGGATTTTAAATGGATTCTGTGTAACTAAACTGCCTAGAAATTAGTGAATTTTGCAAGGGAAAAAGGCTTCTGTAGATGTCATTCATTTCAAAGATATATCTGGTTCTTTAGTTACTGGGTTGCTTTAACATGCAAATTAACCACTTGCCAAAATCAATTTCTTTTGCAGCTTGAATTTCAGCGGAGTCCATCTGGCATCTGCTGGGCAGTTTAGTGACTTCCTGGGGAGCATGGGCCCTGCACAATTTGTTGGGCGTCAGACCTTGGCCACCACCTCGATGGGTAAGGCACACAAAGATGTTAGGTGGTTTTAATTTAATCTTGAACAGACTGCTCCTACAAGCCACCTAATAATGTGTCCAGCATCTGCTGCTCTACCACTCCCCCGCTCCGTTTCTCTGTTAAATCGAGTAAGCTTGGCTGAAAGGTTTTGCTGATGCTGCGAGTGCAGCATTAGTAGGAGAGCACCAGCTTTGTGCTTGCCTCCCTCAGATCTGAAAGGCAGAGACTAAGTAAAACGCAGCTAAAATCCTGAAAACGTATCCTGTGCATCTTTGTGTTTTTCTTGCTCTCTAAGGCCCACCGAGCTCTGTAAAGATTTTCTTATGGCCCACCATAATTGCATTTTCCAAAGCAGCCTGCAGCTCTAGGTACTGCAGTGTGGGAGAGATGAGAGGCTAGCTGCCCTGAAGAGCATGGGACTGAGTCACCAAAGCCATATTAGAGGGCTGACATTAGAGATTGCTTTTGAAAATGTGGGCTTGAATCACTGCGGAGCTGCTCCGGAATAACGCAGGAGGAGATCAGGCACTCGGGGCCTACAGTTCGTTACAGCTTGTAGCAGGCGTGACATGAAGATTGTTTTTATTAACATTTTACTAGCCCACAGAGATATTGTTTTGAAAGTCTTCTGTCTGTCTTGACATTTTGGTTTAGGGGATGTGGAAATTGGCTTGCAAGAGCGAAATGGGCAGCTAGAAGTGGATATCATTCAGGCTCGAGGACTGACACCAAAACCCGGCTCCAAAACACTGCCAGGTAGTATGCGTTGACCTCCTAAAGTAACTCACTGAGCCCCAGCCTCCTGTGATGCTTGTCAGTGGGAAAAATTTTAATTCTGCTTGGCTTCTGCAGGAATAAGCAGTCTGTATGCGGTATTGAAAATAAGGCTGGTTGAGCAAATCTTTTCACTGCTGTAAATGCCTTCATTAGAAATACCTGAGGCGTGGCGTTCTGTCTTTTCTAAAGTGACTGTGAAGATTTTTTCGTATTTGACCATCTTTATTTTTTCCAGCTGCTTACATCAAAGCTTACCTGCTAGAGAATGGCGTGTGCATTGCGAAAAAGAAGACAAAAGTGGCTCGCAAATCCTTAGACCCTTTGTACAATCAGGTGTTACTGTTTGCTGAGAGTCCCCAGGGCAAAGTGTTACAGGTAAGACGAGCAAGTCTCAGGTCTGCCCATCTCTCTCTTCCACCTCTGCTGGAAGCTTCTAGGTCTGGCGAGGAATCTGGATAATTAACATAGATGAGAACAAGCCAGTGTTTTCACTGAACCAAATGCACTCAATCTGAACGTAACAAATGGGAATGAAAACCCTTTTTTCATACTCAAACCTGCAAGGTAATATGAGTGCCTACCAGGAAAAGGTTGATCTTGTTTTTTTTTTTAATTCGTTTTCTCCCACCCAGTTAGGAGATAGATAGGACCTATAGATGCTGAACAGTCTCGCAGCACGGGTTGTCTTCTGTCTTTATGCATACTCAGAGCACTCTGCTTTGGCCATTGCCCAGTGACATATCCTACCTTTTTCTGCCTCTTTTCTTGTACTGCCATACGTTTTCTGCCATACTCACATTTTCAGTTCTGCACCTATGTTTCCAGAGCAGAGAGTGATTTGCATTGTTAATTCATACTCAAATCATTTCCATCCAGTAAAGCCTGGCTAAAATCCACTGGTAGTTCTGGCGTAATTGATCAGTGAGTTTCTATTGCTTACCTCCACTGGCATATGAATTGCCAGCTGACCTGCTGGATTCTCCCCATCAGTGAACTCCTCCTCATTTACCTTGTTTGGAAGCGTTTACCCGTGTTGTAACAAGACCGCACATTTTTGACTGAAATAGGGAGGGACCCGGCTTGGTCTGCTCTTGCCTTGTGTGGGTTTCCTCACCTGCTGCCGTGCTGCTGGAAAAGGCACTTATTCCAAGAGAATAAAATGAGGATCTTGGCTCTCTGCCAGCGGTCATGCCACCAGACCAACTCTCTGCAGTGGCTTGCTCCATCTTATGCTGACCTAGAGTGTTCATTTTCGTCTTCTAATTGACATTTGTTGTCTCCCCTACCTCATGTTTTAGAAAATTGTAATGTTGTGGTTATTCGAAGCCGAGGGAAAGAAGCTGTCAGGATTAGCCAGAGATCACCCGTCACCGTTATAACCCATCATACTCATCCTCTCCTCTTCAGAACACGGACTCTCTCTGGAGTCAGTCGTCACCTTTGTCTTGAGCCACATAGGGCCAGTCGGTCATGTGCAGGCCTCCAGCATGCCTAAGCCCATGACCTTCACTGCATCTGCTGTTCCACCCACTGGTCTCCATCGTGTCGTAAGTGTGATTCAGCTTTCCCTGCTCGCCTGCCAGCTCTCTGTCAGTAGACCTTCCTCTGCGTCTGCAAACCTTTCTCGGCAGCCTGTTCTGCTTCCCCAGCATGCCTCTCCATGTGTGCCCCCTGTGTCACCGGCCCCACTTGCCAGCACTCGGCTCATGCCCTTGCTCCAGGTGAGCAGCCATGCCTTGTTGCCATCTGCCCTGTGTCACGAGCTCCGAGTGCGCAAGTTAATACATGCTCTTCTCCTCAAACTGTTGGCTCTTGACCCAAGCTATTGCCCACTTTTTTTTGTTGGTGTATTTTTCCAGATTGGGAGCCCTTCCTACCCTTCTCCCCAAGGCCACATTTTGTTGTGTCCAGGGCCCATGACTGTGCCAGGACCAGGTTTTACGTGCAGGTCTTGGAGCTGCGGCTCTGGGGATACTTTGCACCCGTGCTGGCCCTGCTCAGCAGGTAGAACAGCAGAACTGTGTCTCATCCACTGATGCATTCGCATCTTTTCCATGAGGGGGGAAAAAAAAAAATCTGATAACATTAGGATTTGTAAAACTGTGCTTAAAAAAAAAAGTGTAAAATCATCAACCAGAGCTTCACGTCGTCTGTTGGTAGTGTAAACCTCTCTGCCCTTTTTGGACTGTACTAAAGCCCCGGGAAACTGGATGAGCAGAAAGAAGGATTGATCAGACTTGTGCGAGTTGGAGGATTAACTGTGCTCCTCTGTGTTGTTCCTAAGGTGATAGTCTGGGGGAACTATGGACGCATGGAGCGCAAGCACTTCATGGGAGTCGCCAGAGTCCTCCTGGAAGAACTGGATTTGTCAACATTAGCAATCGGCTGGTACAAGCTCTTCCCAACCTCCTCGATGGTAGATCCCACTACGGGCCCGCTCCTGCGTCAGTCCTCCCAGCTTTCCCTGGAGAGCACAGTGGGACCCTGCTGCGACAGGTCTTAGTGAGTGAGGAAGGGGGAACTGCTTTTGTTTTTTAAACATGCTGTCAAGGTTTTGTTTGCTGGAACTCTGACCTCAAGCGCAATGCATGTTCAATCAGTTCTCGTGGAGCTGGAAGAGGAGGATAAACCAGTGACCTTAGACAGAAGACGAGGGGGAGGGCGCTGTGCCCTCTCTGTCCGAGGAGGAGGTGCCGTGGGGCATGAGTCCTAGTTGTCAAATTAGACATACACCTCTTGTTTCCCTTCTCTCGCTGTCATTCTTGGACCCTTGTTTCAGATCAATATTAACCGTGGAAAGTTGCAGCATTCGAAAGCATTTTTGGGGGACTAAGGAAGGTCTTTTTCTTAACTGTGTGTCTTAGAAATTTCTAATACGAATTCTTTCATGAGAAAGTACCTGAAAAATTCAGATGTCTGGCCTAAAAAAAGCAGTAGCAGAAAGTTTCAGAGGAAGCATAAGGTTTTTTTAATAATGTTTTTCCTCTCAAAAGGAAGAAAAAGAAAGAAGCCTGCAACTCTTTCTTTAGAATTAGTTCCACATCACTGAGTCATGTTAACTGTGACACTGTCGTTGCTGTGTTTTCAAACTGTGCCAAATTACCAGCAAGTGTCTTCACTGCATTACTTGTCTAACACTGCTGATGAAGCGTACTTGGTGGGAGAATAAGCAGCGCCTACTTAGACCAGACAGTTTGAACAGAGTTCGAGTTTAGCAGGCTAATTAACTGCAATTTTGCTCAGAAAAAACCACTAGAAGTGGGAGCTGAACATCAGACTTACACCTTGAGGTATGTTTTGTGTTGTCAGATACAACGCTCTGCAATTTACTGGCTTCCTTACTTGTTGCTGTGCATCCTTCAGTCACAATGTCTTCTATCTCCTGCTTTTCTTCCATCCCTTTGTACTGGTACCTATCTGCTGGAGATGCTGCCCTTCCTGTTGTGCTGTGGACTGACCTGAAACGGGACTCTTTAGTGTGCCACAGGAGAGGAGATTGAGGTTTCGAGGGGTGCAGAAGGAAGAAACCTCAGTCTGTCATGTGACAAGAAGGTGCGGGCGAGCGTGTAACCTTCTGTGTGGAGAGAAAGGGGCTTTGGGCAGTCTCGGTAGTACACAGACACTGTCGAGTGTCCTGAAAGAGGAGATGCAATCACTGGAGCATGGAGAGGTGGTGGGTGAGGAATCTGAAGACACAGTGGTCATAGGATGTATATTTTCTTAATTCAAGTGCAACACTAACTGTAAATGAGTCTTGCAGATGAAGCCAGTAAAGCACATTCTCTGAGCTGCCGAGCTACAGCGGCCGTTGTCAGCAGAGTCACGTGCTGCAGTAAGGTGCGCTAGGTCCTTCAGACAATTAAAAACTTATTGTCAAAAATCACGGAGAATTTCCAAAGATTTTCTGTTGATTGACCTGTTTTGGTTAGGTTTTCTCATAATTCTTAATGAGGATTTGATGACTGCTGTCTCAGAACAAGCTGTTGGAGATGTTTTACTTTGTAATTGAAAAGTGAAGGTCCCGTGTCCCGTTTCGGAATGAGCAGATTCTCGGCCTGTCGTAGGGGCTTACTGAACCTGTATGTCTGCATGTGGACCTCAGCTTTGGTAGAATAAAAGCATGAGTGTTGAGTGGATGGTATAAGCAGTTGCTTTTGGTCCTAGCTTGTCTATGGCATTTTAGATTATTTTGAGATAAATTACAGGATAGATGCAAAAATAATAGGGCTTATAATAATCTCTGTAGAAAATGATATAATATAAAGGAGAGGGGAGAAGGAAGAGGGGCATAGAATGAATAGTTTTTTGAGTCTTCAGTGGCAAAAGCCTCAACACTTCAGATAAATCTCTTAATTTCATTGATCAAATATGTCTCTAGCCTCTCACTAATTATTTTTTCTAATCGTATTAAACAATTTCTATATATTAGCTGAAGAAAGTTTGTTGCATGCTGGTCAAACTATGTTGTGGCTCTCTATTTTTATTTTTTTAAAAAAAGCACATTTACTGTAATTCAAGTCAGCATCTTTTCCTCTTGGTATGTAGTGAGTACTAGGCAATATTGTACAATATGTGTATGAACTAAAATAGGTTAGGTAGATTTAGTGGTTTGTAGCACTGGATCTTTTAATAACTATGTCTTTAAACGGACCGTAGGGAGCTCCAGGTACGTGTCAGACCTGGCAGCTGAGTAACAGGGCTTCTGTCTTCAGTTATGCCGAAAACTTTATATTGGTACTTAGTTTGGACATTATCTACCAGTAATAGCTAGTTAATCATGGTTTTCCTGTGTCCAAGAAGATGAATGCAACATTTCTACAGTCTTTAATGGGGAGTGGGAGACTATATATGCCAAAAATATTCCCCCAGAAAGCTTTGTTTGGTGACTGTCTGTTGAAAAGCTCCGTTCCTGTATGCCTGGTGAACGCGATATGTGTCTCTATCCTACCCCTCCAAAAGCTCTGCAAGCTCAGCAATGGTCAGTGTGGTTGCAACAGGACTGCTTAGCACTGAGGACTATCTTCTGTATGTTTTTAATCATGCTAAAAAGTCAGGGTACAAAAAAAAGTTATACTTCTACTGATGTTATTTTTGTTAAGGTCTCAGATTCAGAAATTTGGAGGCAGTTTTAACAATCTGTTCTGTCCTGTTTTCTTACGCATTTTTTACGTGGTTGCTTGTAGTCCAGTGGTTCTCGTTGTTGTTTCTACTCTCTTCCAAGTCCTGTTTCTCCCCAGTGAGGGAACGTTGCAATCCCTGGCTGCCACACACAGCAAAGTCACGCGAACTGGCAAATGCGATGGTCTTCCTTCGTTAAGCAGACTCACAGGAGCCCTGCTGAGTGCCCACGGGGCGCAGAGCAAGGCCGGGAGAGCTACACGGTACCCTACGGTCTGATTTCTTGCTTCACTCATACCTGTGATTCCTGCACTGACCATGGCATATTACAGTTAAGAAAGAAGTCTTCTAGCTATCCATTCAAGGCAAGTCTCAGGCTTGGAATAGCTTATTCTTATAAAGCCTGTCCTTCCCCCCCCGCCCCCCAAAAAAAAATTTGACTTGCTAGTTTCTGTCTAAGGTGACATGATGTGACACTTGGGATTACCAGTGTGGTCATGTAACAAGTAGCAGCTTGCTAGAGTGATGAGCAGCTGAAAAGTAGACTTTGGTCCCCTTTGCAAGTCCCAAGTGAGGTTTTTCCTGTGTCTGAGTCTAGCTGTTAGTTATAGTCAGGGAGGGAGGGAGAGACAAAGAGAAGGAGACTTTAAAAAAAAAAAAAAAAAAAAAAAAAAGGAAAGGAAATAGTGAAGAAAACTGATGCACTTGCTGATGGTAGGGCTTCATTGGTAATTCATCCAGCTGAAGTTTCTCTGCTGAGGATTGTTGTATTTACACATCATAGTGACAGGAAGATTGTTTGCCAAAAATAAAATGGAGAGCCGGTCCTTAAATGTTACCTGCATTATTATTACCATGGAAAACAAAGAAATCCTGGTGCTGAGAGCATCCCTGAGAGCAAAAGGATCTCTCCCCAGTGGGAATCCCCTGCACACAGTGGGAGCAGAGCACCGAAACCATGTCTTGCGTGCAGCTTTGTCCTCTGTGGTCTGAGCAAAAAGCAGCCCTGACCGTGGTTAGTCCTGGTTTGTTCAGGCGAAAAAATGGGCTATTTTCCCCATCTCCTGGTGTTGCTTTCCCTTTGCCCCGACACAGCTGGGATGCCCCAGTGCCGACACAAGGTCCTTGCTCCGCAGTCGGACCCCTGGGTCCTCACCCCGCAGCCGAAGGCGCGTCGACGGGCTGGGGCAGCCCCCGTGACTTTATTGTTTAGCCAAGTACATCCCCACCTCTCGGCCGTGGCTCGTTTCAAAGAACATTGCAGAATTATTTGCTTTGAATGAAAAAATGTATTTATTGTTTCTAGCTACTGGATCCTTTATCAATGTACTGTTCTAAATTTGCAGGTCTTCTGGAGTACGAATATCACAAGTTCCTGTAAAGGAGCTATTTTTAAGATGTTGAGGCAGTTAACAGAATCTCAACCTAAGCATGTTTAGTAACGTTTAGACAGCAAGACAACTTTTTTATGAAACTCATCTTAAGTTAGTTTATTACATGCTGTTGGTAATATTTTAAAACAGGAAAAATATTTTTCTTTAAAGACAAAATGATGTATGTTTTTTAACAGATAACATAATTTAGTGTTTTCAGAAATGTTTAATGTACTTGGTATGAAGTTTACTCATTCTTTTGATTTCTATGTTCCTTGTTACATTTTACCAAGTTTTTTTCCAAAAGAAAAGAGGCATATGTAAATAAACGCCAGACAAGAGTCCTATAAGAAATTCTGTTCAAACGGGCCATAAAATTATTAGGAAATATTTGTTACTGTTCATTAACTCTCAGCTACTATTCAAGCCTTTGTTGAAAGAATTGATGTTGTATTTTCAAGATGAGAACTACTTAGCTAGTTTTGTCATAATCCTGTACTCTGTATAAAAATCTTTTTATAAAGAAAGTCTAATAGGCTAACAAGCAATAATATATTCCATTTGGTGTGCACAGATTGTGACTTGCAGGCTGTAGTACATATTGTTGATACAGTTTATAATCGTCTTCAATCTCAATGCCATCACTTTTGAAAAAGCTCCATATTAACTTTGATTGTAAAAAGCAAAGACTGGGCTGCGGCCTGGTGAGGTATATTTATCCTATAGACTTCTCTGTGAGTGTGTGTGCCCATCGACATGAAATCTCTCTTAGGTGGGGAATGGAACAGCTGTAGGTGACTTCATACTACAGAGGTAAAGCATAGCTTCAATATAAACTTCATGACTGTTTCGATCTCCCTGTTTTTCTTAGGCTATCTAGTATTTGTAACTCGATGAGAGCCGTTCCCACTGCCACTGTAGCCCTGATAAAGCAAAAAAGCCTTTGCGCTCTGGGGCCACGTGAGTTCTGCCTGACAGCTGCCTCCTTTCCTCCAGATACCAGGGCAAGCTA